ATCCTCTGCAGCCTCATGAATATTGACGCTGCTGGTCGCCCAAACGTGATCCCTCACCCGGCAGCACCTGCCTGGCAGAGGGGACTGGGGTGGCACCAGGGTGGCACCAGGATACCTGCACGGGAGATGGAAGATCCAAGGGCTGCCCCCACGGGTCCAGCCACGAGGAGGACTCTGTGTTCAGTCCACAAAACGCTCATTTTCTCCCCCAAAAACCACAGGGGTGGAGCAGCCTCACCGCTGGCAGTGGGGCAGCACAAGGTCCTGGTGCCCAGGGCAGGGAATCACGGGAGCAGCTGCTCCATCCCTGGCAGCAGGCTGGAGCTGGGAACTGTGAGGGGACACTGTGCCCACTCATCCTCCTCCCACTCATCTCCCAGCACTGGGTGCCACCTTGACTCCCACAGGGAGGACAAGCACTAATCATTAACCCCCCAGCAAAGGCAGCTGGGTTTGAATTCCTGGAGTTGTTTTCCCTCTGTGTCTCAAACAGGAATGTCCAGCCTGGAATCCAGGGGGGGAGAGGAGCATCCTGCCATGAGACCCTGGGCAAGTGGGGGTCCTGATCCAGCACCTCTCCTGAGGCTGAGGCAGTCCCAGGGAGGGGAAGGTGGTAGGAGATACTTTTTGGGGTGTGGGGGCCAGTCCTGCCTCCATCCCTGGCACTTGGACGCCCCCTCCATCCCCTTCCCGGCCGTGCTCAGTCCCTGCTCTGGCGCCGCTGCCTTGTGTGACAGCAGCTTCCAAAAATAAGCAAATTACCGCATCCTTCAGGGACACTGGCGGATGGGAAGCAAAGCCAAGTGTGAGGAAGCAGCAGAGAGGGGATGGGGGGACAAGGGACAAGCCCTTGCAGGGGATCCAGGGCTGCAGCACCACGGAGGGGACCTGGTACAGGCTGGAGACCAGCAGGGACACGGGGCAGCAGCGTCAGGGGTGGGGACTCCACGGTGGCAGGTGACAAGGCTCAGCTTTGTGGAATCTGAGGCAGGATTTGCTGGAGCAGCTGTGGAAAGGGAGGGAGGGCACTGGGAAACAAGTGCCAGAGTCTCTTGGGAAACTGGCTCGGAGGGACCGGTTTGAAGCGCAAAAACACCCCAAAGCCACCTTCAGCAGGATCAGCTGCAGGGAAACAGCCCCAAATCCGGGGCTCCAGCCCAGCCACTGCTGCAGGTTGAGCTGCTGCATCTCCCCTGGGTGACCCAGCAAGCCCCACCGTGCCTCAGTCTCCCCATTCCCACGCCAAGGATGCTGCTGCCGTTCCCAACAACCTGATCTGGTGGGTGCCATCCCCACCCACAGCACGGGGTGGGGGTTGGAACAATGTGGTCTTTAAGCTCCCTTCCAACCCAAACCACCCCATGATTCCACAACAATAAATATCCACAACACCCGGGATCGGCGGAAAACCGAGCCCCAGGGAGCAGCTCCCACGGCAGGCCAGTCAGAAAACCAGCCAGAGCCCCAAAAACTGAGCAAGGAGAGGGGAGCAGGAGCCCAGCAGCCACTCCCCCACCTCCTGGCCCACCCCAAATCAGCAGCAGCCCGTGGGCAGCAGAGCAGGTCCCCGCAGAGCCGAGGCCGGTGGGAGGGCGCGGGGAGGAGGCTGGTGTGGCAGCAGCAGGATTACAGGAGCTAAGCCTGCCTGCTATTTGCTCATCTCCTGCAAGCAAATACCGCTGCCTGCCTGTAATTCCGGCTGGGAGAACGCCGGTGAGACGGAAATGGCTTCCCAGGAGCAGACGTGGTGCTCCCCGTGCTGGGGGGGGGACGAGGAGCCCTGAGCAGCCCCCCTGGAGCAGGAGCCAGGCACGAGCTCCCCACGGCTGGCACAGCCCCAGACACTTGTTTTAAAGACAAACGTGTCCTGTGTGTCCCCCTCTGCCCGCTCTCCCTCCCACATCCCAGTCGTTTTTCCCTCGCTGGCTCTCGCTGGTGCCGCCTTTGATGTTCCTTTAAAGTCCTGGCACCAAAGGAGCTCTGCTGAGGCTCTGCCTTTGGATCTTCCCATCCCTCCTCCACCCCACCAGGAGCCAGCCCACCCCCTGCATTAGCACAGTGGGAGCCCCCAGCCCTCGGGGCTGCCTCAGCTCTTTCCACAGCGATTCCCCCGCAGGATTTTTTCCCTTGGATGTGCCCCTGGACCTCCCAAGCCCTCTGACACCCAGAACACGGCAGGGCTGGGGGCTGGGAGCTGGGATGGGATTCAGGGGATGGAAATGCAGGGGGGGAGGACCAGGTCTGGCCTGGCCTGGGGATTTGGGAGTGTGGCCGGGCACTGGGGGCTGGCAGGAGCGTGACACCGGCCACGCCACGGAGCAGCCGGATCGATGGCTCCATGTGAGCACAGCCCCAAGGGAAGGGACAGCCAGGAGCTGAGCGGGGCTGGCTCAGGCTGGAAGAGAGGGTAAAACTGCCAGGGATGTGCTGGGGCAGGAGGATGGAGCAGAGGCTGGGGAAGGATCCACGGACACGAGGCGGGGGCGTGGGGTAGAATGTCCGGGCACAGTGGGATGCCCTGGACCCTTCTCTGCAACGACAGCACCGCCACCAATGCACACGAGGATCTGTGACTGACAAACACAGCAGTGCATGGACCCCCCTCCCCAAATCTCAGACCTGGAGACCCCCAAAGCTCAGCCAGCACCTGCCACCAGCTGTCCCCAGGCAGGTGGGCATGCCAGGGAGGGGGGACAGCAGGTCCTGCCCCCCAGGCCCACCAGCGGCAGCAACATGCCACGACCCTGGGTGTCCCTGGGAATCCAGCACAGCCCTTCCCAGCACCCAATCCCCTCCGTTCCCTGCCAGCTGGAGCTCTGGCTCTCAGGCCAAGGGACGGGGAAGGGCTGGCTCTGCACCCCCAGCAGCAGAGAGTGGCAGCTGGACACAGCCAGGGACCCTAAAGGGTCATGAAAGTTTTATGATGGGGGGTGGGAGGCAGCTTTCCCAGCTGAAGGCCAAGCCTGCAGCTCCAGAAGGCCCCAGGGGACACAGGTGGCCTCAAGGAAGCCCCCCAGCACCTGCTTGCTGGGATCAGCCTCCCCGCAGGGCTCTGCCCGTGACAAGCCATCCCCAGCTGCCTCTGCCTCATGCCCCACTTGGTAGCGGGGTCAGGCAGCTGGGGCTGGGAAGAGGAGGGTGATTTAACCCATAACACATTCCCACAGAGGAGAGAGCCAGGAAGATGCTCCCATTGCAACCAAAGCACTGCCAGGACCGGGTGGGAAAATATGTGATGGGAGAAAACGCGTCCCTGTGGCTGCAACCCCCTGGCTGCTGCTGAGGAGGAACCTTGTGGGGTGGGGGGACCCCTAAACCTCGTCCCCATTTCACTTCTTAGTCACAAAAAACCGCGAAAAACCCACAAAACTCGAGACTTTTGCGCCTTCCCCCCCCCCCCAAACCCCCAGGAATGCCCCCGAGAGCACGTGGCTGTGAGAATCCAGACAGCTGAATATTCCACGGAGCTGCTGCTCACACACACACACACACACACACACACACGTTTTTACGCTGCAAACGCTCCGGGGACGAAAACTCGGGAGAAAAAAAGTGCCCACATTCCTCATGTCCCGCCTCCCCCGAGTGCTTCCCAACCGCGGGCAGCCCCCAGAGAGCGAAAAACCCCGCGGGGACAACACGCCAAGGTCATCCCGCAACACGGCCGACCTTGAAGTGTTGTTGCCACA